ATAAAATAACAAAGTGAATTTTATAATTAATGGAGTTTATCGTCAATTATTCCAAAATTAAACATTTTATTTAGAGTTGAGTGTCAGAATTGAGGAATTTTAGAGCCTTAACCTTTAATAAAAAATTGTTTATGAAATAAATTCTTTAATTAAGGACAATTTTTTATGCCTTTTAGAGATCTTGCCAATTAGACTTGAGACTTCAAAGTTGAAAGCTTTAGTCAAAACTAATACTATCTAAATATTTATTTGTTTTTATCCTAATTAAAAGCCAAAAATAATTTTAGAGATGAAAATAATATGGTTTAAATATGTTATTAGTTATTGAGAATTTATAAAATTGATTTTATTCTCCTTATTTTAAAGCTGATTAATTAGTACTTGTAAGCAAAATATAAATTGAATTCTTTAATTAATTTTGTGATAGTAATTTTTTTATTAAATATTAAATTAATTGTATAGAAACATTAAAATCAAGTATTTATAAATTTATTTATTTTATAAATATTGTAACAGCAAAAATATTATTACTAAATATTGAATTTAAGTATGGAAATATTAAACTAACATAATTTTTCAAAGTTTAAAAATTGAATTAATCAATTTAAAATTATAAAAAAAATAAAAATTAAATTAAATAAATAAAGAAATACTTAATAGGAAGAAAAGTGAAACAATTGGTCAAAAATATAAGGTGATTATCGTAGATGGTTTTGTTACGTGGGTGGGTCTGACGATGATACGATCATATCCTCATTGTCTTCTCACCTAAGATGTTTATAATTTGAATTTGAATTTTTTTAATATTTGATTATGATCTTGATCTTATGTTTTGTAAAATTTATATCTTTAGTTACCATCTTTTATTTTACCATTTTTATTTATTTATTTTGTCTCCTCACCTTAATCACTTTTTTACGTGTGAAATATATTTTAAATTATTTGTGAGAACATTTTCTCTCCTTAGAGCTTGAGATTCTTTATCTTAAATTGCGTTATTCATGTGGTGTCCTCTAAATAAGGTGGTGTTTTCTTCACTCTAATCATTTCCATATTTTGTTTTTCAGTTAATGTTTTTCTTTCATTCTTCACGTGGGCAAAAATCACTTCCATCCCATGTTTTCAATTGCTCATCCTGGTTGAATTCTTGGAGTTCTTAAATTCTTCTAAACCTTAAAGAAATTTTCATCAAGTAATATCAATAACACTGCGTACAATTCAAATGAAAGTGATTTTTTTTTCAAGTCACCGTTAAAACACTGTTAACATTTAGGAACGTGTAAGTTTTACTAGTGTGATTCATATATTCAATGATCTTAACCTTACTTATTATTTTTATTTTAAATTGTTTAATTTTTTAAATGGTTTGTTTAGATAAGGCAATTTAAATTTGTTTTTAAAATATTTTAATTATTATCAAATACAAATATTATCGTTGTTAGATTTGTGAATAAAGTCACGTTACTTGATCCTTACACTTATGAGTCAAGTTGGACCGACGTATGATCAATTAGGTTAAGTTAAATCAAAATAAATCAAATTGGTAAGGTCAGACCTAATTAAAATAAATTGTACTAAGTCAAAAATGTTTGATCCAGATTAATAGGATTGTATCAATTGTGTAAAGATTAGTCGAACTAAATCAAGATGAATCAAACCATGTCAGGTTGGATTGGGACAAGTAGGTGAAGATGACCCTGGTAAGATCTTAACAAAACACAATAAGACAAGATGAGACGAGTTTGATCAAGCCAAGATAAGGTGTGTCAGATCAATAGGGATTAGATCCAAATTAGTCAAGCCCGGACGAACCAAGTTGAGATATATTAGGTTGGGTGGGTGATAGGGAAACATGCAATTTAAGTAGAGAAATTAAAAAAAGAGAAGTGGAAACATAAAGAGAAAGCTAAACAATTATGCAATTAAAGGAAGAAATTGATAAAATTAACATATGGATGGTGATCGTCACTTGCTTCATGACAAGATAAGACCACAAAATTTCAATTAAGAGATAATACCTATCTCAAGAGTGGGAATGAGCTAGGAAATGTGGAACTTTGGAACAACCAAGGGAGAAGTCTCACATCTCCCCACTACTTGTTCTCCTAAGTGATTATAAGCCCAAAAAACACTAAGATAACAACAACTAATATAAGGTGAACTAAACAAGTTAGAACATGTAAATGAGCCAAGAATACAAGCTCAAAATCTTATACTACTCTTTTTAGGAGAAGGAGTAAAGAAGCAAGGAGATGGTTTTGGTCATGTTTCGTGTTACCCTTCTATTTTCTTCTTTTTGTGCCATATCTATGATCACATAAGTGGGTTATGTCTACTCTTAACAGATGTATTAGACCTGATTAGGAAGTGTGAGATCATATTAGGATATGTCAGAATGAGATGAATTAGACCGAATCAAAATAGGTTGGATAAAGTCAATGTATGATAGACCAAGTCCAGTTTGGTTAGGTCGGGATGGTTTGAGTATGATCAAAACATGTCAAATTAGGTTAAACTTGGTTATAATAAGTCAAGCAACAATAGACTAAGACATCCCTATTCGAGTTAGGTTGTTCTATAATAGTTTGAATTAGATTGACCTAGGTCGAGCTATAAATGAGTTAAAAATATCTCAACCAATATTGAATTAAATACAAAACATAAAGATAAAAAGAAATATATTTGAAAAAAGAAATAAAGAAAAATTTTAAATTCTTAGATTTAAAATTATCTTATTTTAAATAATTAAATTATTTTTATAAATCTCTAAAATTACAATTATTTTTTCAATTTTTTTATTCAATCAACAAATTTTATGATGAAGCATTTTAAATTACTATTGAAATGAATTTCATTCTATAAATTATAAAAGGAAATAAAATTACATTCTATAAATTCTCGGCTCAAAGAGAAAGTAAAGTAATAAATCTTTTTCTATAAACTTAAAGAGAAAATATATTTACTGAGTTAGAAACTCGAGAATCAAATGCATAATATATTGTTATTTTTCATATTAATTTGAACTTAATGGCAAATTTTGGATCTCATAAGTCAATAAGATCGCGATATAAGTTAAAAAAAATTAGTTTTAAAAGTATAATTTTAACTGTTTAAGTTATATATTTATAATTAATATTTTGTTATGTAATTTAAGAATACGAATATATATATATATATATATATATATATATATATATAATTGTAAACTAATTAATAAATTATTATTCATTTTTCAATTATAAAATAATAGTGTTTTTTTTAAGTCAAACAAAAAAGTCATCAAAATGAATACATATTTTTCATAAATTATTAATAAGGTAGATGAATATTTTGGTGAAAGTGATAATAAGAAAATCACACATTCTAAAAATTGACAAGTATTTTAACGTATGCAACATATAACTAAATTTTATAATAAACACATGTTTTAGCATCCTATATATTTAAAATTAAATTTTTTATTGCGATATAAGAGCATTGTTGAAGTTTAATTTAAAAATAAACATAAAATAATAAATTCAAAAGGACAAAAAGTTAAAGAAAATATTGGAACAAACATTATATTAAGTTTATAGTGATATAGAAATATTCAAAAAAAAATCTGAGTTTATCGTTTTTTTTATCCTTTCCATATTTTGTGTCATTTTAAATTAGTCCCTTTAGAAACATTTGACTGGATCTAAGAGCAATTAATTTGAATATTTTTATTTATTTTCTTAAAAACAAAATATTAAATTTAGAGATAAAAACAAGAGAGACAGTAAATAGTTAAAACCTATACATATTCATAAAAAATAAGAATGTGGGTGACTATGAATATGATATCATTTTTAGTTTTCATAAATGTAAGTGTCGTGTACGTCTGTCTTTTCTTGTGTGGCTCATATCATATCCTCTGTCTTTCATCTTATCCAATCACCAACATCTGTACTGTACCTCATTGGTGCCCCCACCAACCCTATCTAATAACTTGCTTTAATTATAATTCTAAAAACCAACTATTTCTCTTCCACTTTTTATTTATTTATTTATTTAATTTACTAGAACATAAAAATAATAGTTAAAATCTCTTTTAAATTTGGATAAAATTAAAGTAGATTAAGAATTTTTTTAATATTAATTTTTATTTAAAAAAAAAGAAAAAAATAAGTGTCACACCTATAATGTATTATATTTTATAAAAGAAAAATAATATAAGAAAATTACTTATTATAATTTATATATTTAAAAAGTTAATTAAAAGTAAGAGAATATACATATATATATATATATATATACATATATATATATACATATATATATATATATATATATATATATATACACACATGATGTAATAAAAAAATTGAAGAATCTAAAAAAATAGATAAAATAAACAAAGAAAATTAAAAATTTAACATATTGCATTGCCTAAATATATCGACTACAGATTTGAAAAACCAGAAACAAACATTAAAAACTAATTATAAACAATTAAATAATATTTGTTTAATGCGATACGGTTTTATTTTATATAATGCAACAGAACTGTTATTTTATGTAGTAACATTACGATCGGAACAACCACAAGATAATTTATGCGCTAGAAAGGCCCCAATTATTTGGAATGACTAGTGAAAACGTAAGTATTCTAATAAAAGAATTCCTCTACAGTACTGGAACATAGCTAAAACAAGATCCAAGACCACATAGTACGTAGAAAAAAACTTTAACTTAAAAATCAAAATATCAATTTCATGAATTTTAGTACTCGTTTTTGTGCTTTATGAAGTAAAAAATATATCTATCGACATGATTTTGCTTTAAATGATAAGGATTTAATTTCCAGGGGGAAAAGGACATTCGATCAAAATAATACTAATGAGCCTAAATCGTCAACGAGCAGTACTTCCCTCAATTAGCCACTACCCCATTCGTATATGCTTGTAGGGCATGCATCAAAATATTCAAAATTCGACAATAACCTAGAACAGGACCTACCCATTTGGAGCGCCCAACCTTTAAATTGTTAATCTTTCTTTTATTAAACCATGCAGAACAAATTCTTTATGGTAAAGCCTAAGTGCCATCTGGAGAAGGCATAACATCTTCTGTACGACGACACCAGGTGGTGCAGAGAAGAAAAAAAGGAAACTAAAAACACCAAGAGAACTTCCAAGAACAAACTTCACACAATCATCTGGTGAAGAGAATTTGCAGCAGCTCAGATCATCGTATCCAATGCTTAACCTAACCAAAAAAAAAAAAAGGGATGGGAGGAGAGGGGCAAAAGAGAAAATGGGGCTGGGGGCGGAGAAAAGTGCGCAAAACAAGGAGGAAACCTAGTTGTGACCAACCAAAACTAAATCCCAAGCCCTCAAAAGAAAGGAGAAAAAACCCAGAATTTCTTTAGCACCTCTTAAGGAACAAACTGTAAATTTTCAAAATCAAAAGTCGTGACACCATACCAAATCAACACGATAAATGTGTTTGACAAAAATAAAAATCCCATTTTCTCAAAGGAAAAAATCCAAAAGTTCTACACCACTAAGGAAAAAGCTCATATTTTTCAAAACACAAATTAAGTTGTAACACCATATCAAATCAATACAACAAAACCACTAAGAATGAAAAGCAAAAACATCAACGTGTACAGGGCAACATAGAGAACTGAGTAAAGAAAGCATGGACAAGGCTGACAATTCAATTGAAGATCCTACGCAAAAGGCACCACCCAATAGTTTCACGGAGAATTACCTGTTGAAATCATTTGCATTTCAGCATTTACTTAAGTAAAAACTGTAACTCAGCCAATAGCTCAAATGCAACATGGTGAAACTCATTGCAGCAACATCCAGGTTCAGTTGACCTTTATATAGAAGCTTTACCTAACCATGACAAGTTCTTGGGGGGGGAGAAATTTAAAAAAAAAAACAAAAAAAAGGAAAATGGGGAAAAATGCAGGGTAATATAAGCCACCAGATGATGGTAAAAAAATACTTATTAGAGTAAATGCATTCAGATAAAATACAAAGCAAACCAGCCTCCCATATTGCTCTCAACACTTGCTAAGAAAAACAAATATGCTCTAAACCATAGAGCATCAGAATCTGACTGCATACCTTAATTTACACAAGAGAAAATCAACCCAGCATAACTGTATCTCAAAGCTCCAACAGATCATTGAGAATAACCTGCATTTGTTTTGGATATAACATGCCCACCATACCACAAAACATGAGTAACAAAACGGAGCCTATGGTTGACCACATCAAATAATGATGCTCGCAACTAAACAAGATCATACTACAAAACTTGGCCACATCAACTATGGAATATTTATAAACAAATGAGGAGACAAACTTTAAGAAATTCACTTGAGTTTCAATTTAACATATTGCTGTCATTAGACAGACAAGTTTTAGATGCACATAATTGGATACTGGTTAAAAGGGTTTTTCCCTCTAAACTATCATTTTTGAAGAACTAGAAGCAAAAAATAGTAAGACACCATCAAATTTTAAAAAGAAATATCAAAGCCCAAAACATTGCAAAAATTACCTTTAATAAAAAGAATAATATACTTAAAATAACATTCCAGCATACATCAATCAAGCAGTATGCACTGTTGATCATGACAATAACAGGAAACTTCTTGAAACCTTAAACCACACCAACAGCTGTGGGATTCTACACCTGATATTTTCCAACCAGACCTGCAAAAAGAGATAAACAACGGAAGATGTTCATAAGCCAACAGACAATAATCCAGGGACCAATCAAATAGTGGAGGCATCATCCTCAGAATCGTAGCCCTCCTTAGAAGAAACAGGATATTCCTTGGAAAGATCTTGTTCAGGAAATCTTCAAAATAGAAAGTCATGATCTATGCAATGCTTTTGAAATAAGATTATCCTATGGTGACAAGAAATAATAGCAGTATTGGGTGACACTGCTTTCTGATCAGCATTTGTAGGTAGGAAGCTTCAATTATCCTTGCTTTTTAAATACTTCTGATTCAAGAGCAAATAACAGAAATCTGTACTCATAGCTATATTGTTAGCATTATCAAAAGCCAGGTAGAATCTTTGATTATCATTTAGAACCACCACTCCTGAAACACAGAAAGTACCCAGTATTAAAAATCATGCAATAAAAGTGCATAATCACTTTTTTTCCTACATGTAAGGTCATTAGTCATTACCAAGCCAAGTTTGCTTAATATTTTCTATTTCCCTCTTCTTCCACACTTATCCATCCTGCATCAAAGAGGAATCTCAGCTTTGTAAACACCAAACTGAACAAAATTAACAACAATGTTTGACAATAAGCCTTCATGTACCTGATTTATCATCAGCTTCATTTGATTCTTCTAACTTGTACTTACCATTCACCGATGTCGCCTTCACAGTATCATTTAGGATAGCTGAGTCCTTCACATTTATAAATGGTTGCAGCAAGGCATCTCCACAAAGTTTTGAATTTTCTTCACAAGTAGTATTTTCTCCATCACTTAAATTATGCTTAACTTCTTCGGATCCAGAATCAGATTGTGATTTTCCCTTTGAATCATAATCCTTGAAATTTCCTTGGAAGGACCCACTCCCATCGAACTGTTCTGATTTTGATTTAGTCAGAGTTTTCTTTTGTTGCTCTGATTTTTCACCTCTGTTTCCATATTTATCACTGGAGTTATGCTTGCCTTCACGGAACTTTGACCTGGATTGTTTAAGTTCAAAATTTATCTCATCCAAATTTATATGGATTGAAGTGCCTCTTTTGCCATGCTCACCTTCTAATGATATTGACCTTGAATGCCTTCTATCACGATGCCTTGATTTCTTATCCCTGTTTTCACCAGATTTATCTTTAGTGCGATGCTTCCCTTCAACAGATTTTGATCTGCCCCTTTTACTATCACGATGTTTTGACTTTTCATTTTTGCTTTCATCCACCCTGACATCAGTTTGATCCCTATTTTCTGTAGATCTTGACCTAGAGTGCCTTTTATCACTATGCCTCAATCTTCTATTTCTGTTTTCATCCAACCTCTCAGGTGAATCTTGCTTATCATCCACAGATTTAGACCTTGACCGTTTTTTGTATCTGGATCTACTTTCATCCACTTTTCTTGGGGATGATCGGATCCTTCTGTGAGTCTTTTCATCCACAGATACTGACCTGGATCGCCTTCTCTCTTTCTGTTTAGCCTTTCCATGCAAGATTTCTTCATTTTTGCTAGAGTGAACCCTATCTTCTGATGATCTTGACCTTGACTGCCTTCTGTTTCTTAATTTCTTTTCATCAATCTTTGGAGAAGACCTACTTCCTCTGCGACGACTCGGAGAGCCCGAATCAGCAAGTGACTGTTTCGTTCCTCTATGAGGTGAGGTTTCCCTATGACGTTTTGGAGAAACAGATGATTTCCTTGTATGAGGACTAACACTTCTACTTTTGTTTCTTCTTGAAGAAGATAAACGACGATCAATTGATCTATCCAAATCTCGTTTTCTGTATCTACTATCACTATGCTCCCTACTATCTCTATAGCGCCTTTCCCTGTCATAGCTAGAGTAATGATGGGACCTCAATGGTGACCTAGAGAGATGACCCCTAGAATGACGCGCAGGTGAATAAGAACGAGACCTCCTCCTTCTCCGGTAATTGATAGGAGATCTCGACTTTGACCGAGATCTTCCACGAATGGGAGAGGGTGATCTGCCAAAGAAAATTAAATCTTAGATTAGACAAAGGACTTCGTAAAGAGCATGATGACTGGTACAAAATTAAAAAATATACATGACAAGATTTTTCACAATATAATTTAACATAACCATGAATCCATGGTCAATAACAATGATAGACTTGAAAATTGTCAATTCATCAACATATTTCTTACTTCCATATAGGACATCAATTTTGATTCTAAATGCAATTTATTTTTTTCAGCTCAATTCTTACAATTTTTTACCATCTACATGCACACATGACCCTACCACATCTAGCTACAAAAAAAAAAGAAACTTCATTTGATTCAAACTTCTCAACTTGTTCAGCAATGTACGTCAATTGACATTCATATCCAACTGTACATAACTTCTCTAATGAAAAAACTCCCTTCCTACAGAATCTACACAACAAAGAAAGCTAACCAATCAACATGGAATGCTGCCTGCCAAGTATGTCAATTCATACTCTAATATTGCTGCTCCAATCAAATAACCTCCAGAGCAAATACTGTAGGAGAGCAGAAGGCCCTAAAACTAAAGCAACTTTGGGATGCAAGAGTAAGTGGGCATGCAGCTGAAGTACAGCATAGCTACTACTCCTTATGTGTAAAGGATGTCAATTCATACTCTAATATTGCTGCTCCAATCAAATAATCCGGACCCAATACTGTAGGAGAGCACAAGACCCTAAAACTAAAGCAACTTTGGGATGCAAGAGTAAGTGGGCATGCAGCTTAAGTACAGCATAGCTACTACTCCTTATGGGTAAAGGGGGCTAAGCCAGTGCTAAAATCCCCTCGTCAAACAGTGAATAATAGTTATCCAATCTATAACTGGCATACAAATTTTAAAATAAAAATTATCCAAAACAAGAGTTGTTTTTCCATAGTAAGCCCCAGGGAAAATAATTAGGAATTCAATGCAAAGCTGCCACCAGGTAGGTCTGTCAGGAGCCCATTGGCTAGTTTCAGTTAGGATAGTTGATTAATTGTCACATCAGTTGCAAGTAGTTGCAACAGTTCTCTAACAACATAAATACTGTATCGTCCTTATCCTGAACATAACAAGAAATACAGAAACAACTTTCTCAGTTTTACCTGCACTTTTCACACCATTTATTTAAACATTATATTAGTTCATGATTCCCACTTCTAATGTATCGGTCGTACTTGTACTACTCAGAAAAAAATCAAAATTGAAACAATAAAAAAATTGAAAGTTTGAAGCACAATCAAGACAAAAGGCATATGTTATCCTCAAAACAATTCACAAAAGTAATCAAACCTGGATTTTTGCTTTGTCTCTTTGTCTTCAATTCCAAGTCCATCAGGATTCAATTTCTTACTTATTTCTGCAGCTCGGGCTGCAGCTAACTCTGTGGCAGATTTCATGGTGGCAGCTCGATTAGCAGCCTGCTGTGCAGTCATGGTTTGTTGCATGAGCAGTGCTTGCTGGAATTGCATCTGTTGCATTGCAACAGCTTGCTGCATCATCAAAGGAAGAGATGATGAAGCAAGTGAAGAATTTGTGATGGATGGTTTCTGTGGAAGTGATTTTGCCATTTCAACATTCAAAGGGCGCCCCCCAACATCTATGTTGTTTAATGCCAGAGCAGCAGTTGCCTCTTCAGGCTTTGAGTATTCTATATAAGCAAAATGCTTTGAATCAGTGATTGTACATTCAACAACAGTGCCACAGAATGCAAATAGTTGCTTTAGCTGTTCCACAGTGAGAAGAGGGCTAAGATTGCTAACTTGAAGGGTTTTCTTCAATGCATCATCTTTACTAGACTTTTCAGGTGAACCTGATTGTGGTAACAAATACAATTATAAGAAAAAACAGGGAAATAGTAAAACACAATAAAAAAAGCATCACAGTTGAACATAGTGAAAAATCAAGGAGAGAGCTTTCATCATATTAGAACTATGAAATGAAAAGATACCACGAATACAAAACAAAAATTTGTATATCAACAGCATACCACCGGAATCTTTCGCAGACTGAGCTTGCACCTGAGCAGCATGGGCTTGAAGAGCTTGAGCAGCAACTATTGCCTGAGCTGCAGCCATTGCTGCGGCAGAAGGTGCCATAGGAGCTTGGCTAAGGGTTCCCATTGAGGTTGTCGCAGCCAAGGCAGTCATTAGCAAATTGTGAGGTGGATGATTCAACTTGCAATCTACTTTCACACAACGCCCATTAAGGTAATCGCGACAAACTTCCCCAAGTGAGGCCCCAATTCCAGGCAAAATAGCACCCCCAGAAGCTCCAGCAACAACCCCTGGAATCATTCCCAACAGTCCAGGGAATGCCCCTGAAACTGACCCAGAGTAATTTGGCATGTTGGGCATAGTTTGATTAACCAGGTTTGGAAATGTAGATGCAGGAGCTAAACCCAGCAGCCCTCCACTACCATTACCTAACCACAAAATAAATCAAAGCATTGAAAATTAACCAGCATGAAGATCATTACAAACCCAAAAGCATATGTACAGCAACAATGTTATTTTCAACTTTAGTTTACGTAAAAAAAATGCAATATTGTACACAGCATAACAATTTCAACAAAAAGCGTAGCAACAAATCGAGAGAATCTTGTATTCAACTTCTATATTTCTCTTTCCATTTTGTAATTACCAAAATTCCACCTACGCATAACCAATCCCAATCCGGGGTAAAGTGTGAGGGTTGCATTCAGCATTTGGCAGCCAAAGTAAAACCCAACATATACTGAACATGAATCACTCACAGCAGCCATTTACCCGGCTGAATAAGGCTTTCCTTGTTGTTTGTTTTGTCACTACCCATCATACCAGACAAACCAACATAACACATGATATAAAAACCATCCAAGTGGAACTGCTAACCAAACCTAGAACAACTCAAAAGAACCACATCAGATCACCACATACATTATACTGAATAAAAGTAAAACCTAAAGTAGTACCTGCTGCACTGAAAAACACCGGAAAGGGACTCCCCATGATAGGCCTCCCATTACACTCAACACTGACCATATAATTCCCTCTCTTGGGTACTACATAAGTCACAGTATAAGTGCCATCACCCATATCCTTCACTATCCCTTCTTGCTCAGACCCTCCAACACCCAACCCGGGCGTCACCCTCACCTTGATTTGCGCTCCACCGTTGGAAACTTTTCTCTCATCGGCGTCCTTAGCGACCACCACAAAGGATGATGGAGCACACGCAGTTCCGCCAGCGATCCCGGTTCCCGCCGCAGTGCACTTGGCGGGATCAACGGGCCCAATGGGTTTATTGGCAAGGTCCTCGTATTCCTCCGACTCGCTGTCCGAATGAACGACGCCCCCACCCTTCTCCCGATTCTTATCCAAACCCTTGAACGTGGCCTCAAAGGCCGCCTTCGCCGCGGCAGCCTTCTCCGCCTCGCTCTTCAGCTTCGCCTCCTCCGCTTGCTTCATCCAAATCGGTTTCGCGGCGCCCGAACCCCGATCCCCCATCAAACCTACCTTAAACACCAATAGCCAATAAATAACACCAAAACCTAATTTCAGGGAAGGGGAATTTTCGATAAATTAATTAATTCGCAAATATATGAAATATCGAACAAGAGGAAACCCTAGAATAAAAAAAATAATACAGTAATAATAATTTGTAGAATTTGATAGATTGAATAAAGAGAGAAAGAAAATACGAGGAATGAATGGAAAAGATTGTTAGGGTTTGACAGAAGATAGAGGGCAAATTAGGAAAAGAGAGAAAATGAAGAAGGTATACCTTGTTCTGTTCGCTGTGACGGCTATGTTTGGTATGGGAGCTTTGGACTAGAGTCTGAGCGAAGAAGACCAGGTCAGGACAGGCCGAGTTGTATAAGCTAGCGTGTTTTACAGGCTCCAAATAAATAATACACATTAGCATAATATTTTTTTTATTATTATTATAACTTTAACAACCTAATAAACTTTAAAAAAACATATTGATATCATAATTATATTTATCCATATTATCTATAATCCATAATAAGATATAAAAGATTATTTGTTTTTTAACAATTTTGGTAAATTATTTATTTTTTGTATTTTTTCTTTATCTTATAATTTTATTTATTTATATTATCATCATTTGTAAATTATATGAAGAAATTCATTTTTTTAACTATTTGTAGTATAATAAACTGTAAAAAATATTATTTTTATTAAATAAAAAATAATTATTTTATTATTAATAAAATATATAAAAAATAGTTCTTTTTAATATTATATATTTAAAAAATATGTATTAAAAATTAATAAAATTTAAATTAAGTTAAATATATGTATATATATTACAAAATAATATATAGACACATACTATGTTCCAAATGATTTTTATAATAACAATCGTCTAAGAAATAGTAAAATAAATTTTTAGCTTTTATATTCATTAGAACATATGAAAAAATTGTTGAATATAAAATATTTACCATTACTTATTCTAATATATATTATATTATATGGGTATAAGGGATATAATTGTCTAATTTTCGTATTTATTATATTTAACGATTTAAAAAAATATATACTAATTTGTGAAAACATAATTGTTAAATAGTTTGTGTATCATTTTTTTATAATTATTTTTTTTAAAATATCATTTAAAAAAATCTTTTTTCTAGTATTTAAATATATATTTTTTTAATTTTTTTTTCTTTTTTGTATTTTTATTAATTTTTTAAACATATAAATTATAATAGTTATTTTTTTCTTTGAATTATAATACTTATGTGTTTTTTCTCCCCACTCACACAAAGGTTTGTTCTAAAAAAATATCTTTTATATATAATTATAGTTAATATACAATCAATATACTTTGATTATTTGATTATATATAATATTGATTTAATAAAATAATAATAAACAATAAACATGGGCAAATGACTATTTGAAATATCATCATAAAAGTTTTATAAATAATATTATTTTATTCTTTCATGCACATGCTAATATTTAGACTAAATCTACCCTCTTAATATTTTTATTTTTATATTGTCTTAAGAATCAAGATGTATTTGTAAAAAGATCTCTCATTATTTTCAATCCTTAACAAAGTTTGTTCTAGTAGATTTCAAGGTATTCTCTATCAAAAGTAACTTGTTCAAGCTCTTTTTGTAATCTTTTTGCAAGAACATTACCGTTTACCATAGGGTCAATACTAAGGTCTCATATTCTCTTTTACACATTAATCCTTAATTTTGGGGTTATGTTATGAAACACTTAGGAGTTGAGGTCAGGGATAATTTATATACATCATTATTTTTCAACCCACTGACTCGCCTGTAAGGAAAAAATCGTGATGAATCAAAGTTCCAAAGTAAACAATCTCTCAAACGTGGTAATGAATCCTATTAATGTTACCATAGTATACATGAGATAACTACACTCTTATTCTTATATTGAACATTGGTGCCCACTATGGAGTTATGTTTTGATACAAACTCCATAAGTCTCACATTGCTTAAAAGGTAAGTCCAATATTAGTTTATATACACATTTATTTCTTAACCCACCGTGTATCGCAGATGTTCTTATCCACAAATTACAATAATAAATAGTCTTCAAGCATATCAGTCAAGGAGTTCAGACAAGTTGGTCTTGATAACGAACACCTTAAAATCAACTAGGTTGAACTCTATTCAGTGTTGAAAAGAGTGGAAGGTCTAACCTAACTAGTGCTCAAGCATGGACTTATCATGGTTGTCATCCATGTGTGTGCCAATCTTGATTATTAGTCTCTTTAACTTCTTATATGTGTTATGATTGTCTCTAGCACGCATTAATAAATAGTTTTGTAGATAATTAATTGTAGCAAGGTTTTTACCTTAAAAATCATGCATAGGATTAGGTAAATGGTTCAAACTTGAATCGTTCATGCTTATAGTGCCATTTGTGTTTCATTGTTGTTAAGGTTTTAATATAAATCCAATTGGTAATATGTGGAGTAGCCTAACATGTATTTAAACTATACCAAAGTACTTGAGGCAGGAAATGAGGGACTTTCAACACGTCCCCTCCAACAAAGCTTGTCGGACCAAACAAATGATACTTTTGACCCACAACAAAAGTACAACTCTTGGCTCAAGACAATAACCGAAAAAATGTTAGACTTTGACTCTAATACCACTTGTTGAGAGGATTCACTGGGGAGACCAACACCAATGAGACATGAGTTCAACCTACATAAGGATTAACATCACTCTCAACACAAAATCTTAAGGCATTGAGTTATGAGTCATACTTCCTTATATGTTGCTTTACTTTCTCATTCTTACACAATATGAGACTTAATATCACACTTGGATTCTCAATAATTTGTTAAGGTTCTAACATAAAACCAATTGGCAATATGTGGACCAAATGACCTGAGGCACGCGATGTGGGACTTCCAACATGTCCCCTCCAACGAAACCTGCTGGACCAGACAAAGGATACTTTTGACCCACAACGAAAGGACAACTCTTGGCCCAAAACAATAACTAAAAAGATGTTAGGCTTTGGTTCTGATATCATGTTAAGATTCTAACATAAAACCAATTGGCAATATGTGGACCAAATGACCTAAGGCAGGTGATGTGAGACTTCCAACAATTGTATCTTCTTCAAGTACTTTCTCTCTCAAGTGTTCTTCAAGCATAGATTAACAAGTAAACAACACCTTTAGATATGAGGTCTTCGGTCTCTTTGATACACAATAGAGATACAACAAGATACTCATGTACCCATCTGACAAAGAGAAAATTGCCTTCATTACATAAGGAGCTAACTTTTGTGATATAGTTATGCCCTTCAAACTAAAGATGTTGGTGCAACATATCAAAGATTGATGGACAAAATATAAAAAGATTTCATCGATGACATAATGAAAGTTTATGTGGACGACATGACTATCAAATTTAAACAAGATAGAGATCACCCAAAATACTTAGAAAAAAAATCTTTGTTAAGGTTTGAAGACATAATATGAGACTTTGGAAGACAAGTGTATTTGAAGTAGGTATGATAACACATTTTGTATGCACACTTATAACTTTATTATATAACTATTGGACTTTTTATATATTTTGTTCTTAGTTTTAAATTCATTTCTCTTAAGTAGTATTAAATTAGGATCAATTTACATATTTGTTTTAATTATATATTTTCATCTCATTGAACCTTTGCTCACTTTTTTGGCATACCTTATGATGTAGATATTATTTTTGGTTAATTCAAATTTCAATGGATTTTACATTTCAAGGGTTATGGAATAGATATGTGGTTTGCTAGATTTTGAGTTTTCTCCTATTTATTATGATTTTTAGACTTTGAGGCATATTTACTTAAATTTTGTAAAACTTTCTTTCTATCAGTTTTACTTTTGTAATAAGGTTTATGATCTAATTAGAACCACATTAAGGTCTATATTTATTTTAGACTTGAGAGAATTTAAGTAACTTAAATGTGCTCTAAACTCATCCAAAAATCATTTTATGAAATTTTCGAGTTTAGGAAATTTCTTTTTATTTTCTCTTTTCTTTCATTTTTTTTCCGACTTTTCCTCTCCTTTTCTCCAAATCTAGTTTGTGTTCTTCATCAATGAAAAACTAAATCTAGAAAATCAATTCACAGAATTATGATTAAATAAGTTGAATTGAGTTTTACATTGATCGTTATGAAACTAAGTAACGATGTTCAAAATTAAACTAATCAAAAAATAAAACTATAGATTGATAAAAAAAAAAACAAATACCAATATATAGAAACCAAAAACAATAAAAAAATAATTATTTTTTCTATTTTTTGATTGAAAAATTTAAAAATCAATTAGATTAATTTGGTTTCTGGTTTGACCGTTAGCAACAAAGCTAAATTGAACCAAACTAAAATGATAATATATACTATTGAAATTAAACATAAGATGACACTCTTATAAATGAGCCAAATAAATTCTTATAATTTATGACATATATAGTTATGTTTAAATTAAACATGGAATCATATAAAAACTAATTCAAACTATAAACATCACTGTTAATGATGCATAATATTTTTATAATATATTTATTTATTAAATATTTATTTTATTATAATATATTTAATAAATTTATAATAAAAAAACCCTACAAAAATCACCTAAACTAAATCACAAAATATTGGTTTCGTTTAGATTTTTTTTAAAACAAAAACTGAACTAAATTAAATTGAATTTAAAATTTATGTTTGGTTCCGGTATTTTTTTAGTGCACTACCAAACTAAACTTCCCGGCAAACACCCTAGTTATGAATTTGTTATTTTCTCACTAATATCAATTTTGCTATTTAAGATTATAATATGTAATTCACCTTTTAAAAATCAAATTAGAAATTAATTCAATTTCAATTTGATAATTAAACATACATTAGATTTAATGATATTTTAATTTAATTCATATAATTAATTTAGTTGATTAATTGAATAAATTAATTGTTCAAATTTAAATCTTAAT